TTTTTTTTTTCTCGTTTCGGTATCGCCTTGCTGTCACTAGAGAGGTAGCTTGGCGGACAAGCTCTAGATTTTCTGAAATTTGTTAAAGCAGGTGCTTCTATTGGTCTGTTCATTCTGCTGAACTCTGATTGGACATGTTAGTGATCCATCTGATTTTTTTAGCAGATCTGGTGCTATTGGGAGGTTCTAGTGCGATTCTGCATCACTTGTACCTTCTTTTAGCTACTTTTCCCTCTCGCTTATTGCCAGCGTTACTATTATCTTCAGACGTCATTTCTAAAGGGTTTTGAAGAATAAAACGATTTTTCGCATGAAATAGTCACAAATTCTCAATAGTGAGTAGGGTTGCTAGGCATAATAATGATGGATATTTTTAACTAAACATTCGCCTTTAAGTGTAATTTTCTATGTAGACATAGTCTTTCTTGTCTCATTCCTGAAATTATATCTAGCAAGAGTCCTTTTGCAAAAGTAGAAATAAACTTCACAGCAATCTATTAGTAACCGCCAGGAGCGAACAGTAATGATGTTTTTTGCAAATGGTTTATATTTTTCAGTAGTATCGCAACAGGCTTTTTAAACGTTTTTTTCATACCAAATTCAATATTTATATGTTATCTGTAACTTTTTGTAGCTTTAGCATCAGTTGCAGCTTTCTGATGCTTTTTGTATCTGTAATATCACTTCCGTCTTCCTCAAATGACGGTGATAGTTTATGAAGTTCTTCACAAGAAGCTCTTCTCTTTGCATGTTTTAGCGTTTTTTATTACATGAAGAGTTTCTTTGCAGCTGCAGACGACGTTGGAGAATTTTGAATTATGTATACATTCAGTTTTCAGTGGAAACGACAAAAGTTGGTAGGCAGTGATACATATACACACTTGTTTCAGATATTTAGAATTTGCTTACCGTCTTTTGGGGATGCAAAAATTCACTTAAAAATTCTTTTCTTTTAAAATTGCAAATCACTGTTATCTTTATCACCTAAAATTTTTTCGTGGTTTTTATTAGAAAAGAGCAGTTTATTGACTTGCATTAACTTTCTGCCAATTGTGAGGGGAGATGGGTGTTTGGAAAGAGAGACTACTCTTTACCAGTATTTTGACTGATTGTGCTTTTATTAAACAATTTTTTTTGTGTTTATCGTTACTATCGTTGAGTAGTCCGGCTAGACTAGTCAAGTCTGGGTATAACGGAATAGAAATAAGTAAAATACCAATTTTTTTGAAGCTTTTATATCTGCATCTGAATTTGATGATTCACCTTTCAAGATAGCTGGTCTTAACAGAATTCTACTTTATACAGTTAGACTATGTTCAAAAGACCTTTCTGGGAAATTTTGTAGGGTTTGACTTTAAATTGAGATAGCATTCAAATAGTTGTAGCATAAGTGAGAAGGGACCTTGAAGAATTGTAAATTACGGTTCAATAAAATCTAATATTATTAAAATTAAGCTAAAATCATAGTGGAAAGGGGAGCCGTAGTAATTATTTTGCAGTTATGCCTGCTGTAATAGAGTTTCTTTTCAGTAATTACTTTAAAAAGTGGTTTTGCAACAGCAGATTAGGGGTAATATTGAA